AAAAAAAAAAAGAGCAGTTCCTGAAACTATAAAATTCCAGCCACATTGTAATTCAGATCCTTTGTCAGACATTTATACTTCTAACCCAAGCACATCAGTGAGCTCCATAATTCTAGGCTTCCGATCGCTAGAAAGATCTAACAACTCATTATCTATCAAACTTCCCCATTTGCCAATTCATCTCATTCTTCCATGATCTCTAAGAGCTATACACAGAATGATCTAATGAATTTTGGTAATATACTCAAAATATATCACAGATCACAAATTCACAATTAACCAAAACATTAAAAACAAGTTCATTTCCAGAAATCTTAGCAGATAATAGTACCACATACATTACAAAATTTAGCATACCAGTAAGAACAAAAACATGATCTCGTCCTCCAGACCGCTTCCACGCATCAGTATTCCTCACAAAATCCACAACCTCCTTCTGCCTTAGATAGTCCTCGTTCCCCACTTTTTTCCTGAATGCCCCGTTTCCCAATCCCAGCTGCATCTCCGCACTCAACGTCGCAAAAAATGGCACGAAGACGACATCAGCCTCCTCAACATCAAAAACCCTTTTTGCAAAAGACCCAGTTCTCATCTCCTCAGGGGTCTCCAAGTCCCCCAAGATCCAGTACTCCGCGCTATATTGTTTGATCAATGGGTTCTCCGGATATGGAGGGCATTTGGTAGGTTTGGGCAAGTGGGAGCTTGGGATCTGATGGTCGGGGTCAGACGGGATGCGGGAATCGGGGTGGCCGGAGGACCAGTATTTCTCGAGGAGGCCATAGTTGAGGGATCTGGGAAGGTCAGCCACGTAGACTTTAAGGGAGTTTGGATGGTATAGACTCTCAGCTTGGATGGAACTTAACTGGTTCTCGGTAGCGGTGGAACTGGTGTAGAAAAAGACAAGGAAGAGGAGGGAGAGGAGGGAAATGAGAATAGAAGTGAGGAACAGAAAATTTTTGATGGGATTGTTAGCTATGGCGTTGCTTTTGAGTACCATTTTCTTGCTATCTCCTTCTGCTGAATCTGCTTGCTTCTCGAAATCAATTTCAGTGTTCCATTCTCGGTCTTCCCCGAGGAAAGGATCACTGGCAGCAGACATCCCTATACTCTTACCTAACATTCCATTTGGTTCCTATAGTTTAGAAATGTCCAATTTAGTCCTTACAATGATTTAGATTTAGCCAGTTTGTATTCATGGACGGTATCAAATTTGGTCCTCAAAAAGTCAAAACAACCAAAAAAATCAATCTTGATACCTCAAGTGCACTCTTTTTACTTCAGTCTTCAATTTACACTAATCCCTATTTCTGCCTTTCCCTTCTTTGCTCACAACAATAGAGATGGGTCCGCTATTTTACACTTCAAACCATAAAATAAACAACCTTGGATGGGAAGAGGGACTCTATATCAAAGGCCCTATCCTTCATTCAAGGGTCATTGTTTTCCAATTTGGATTGTTCCATACTGTAAAACAGTTTTTCAATAGAGATATTATGGGATATACTTCTAAAAGTGCAAACCTCAAAGAGCAAAGGAATGAGAAGTGTGAACACTATTTCAGATTTAGTATTTACTAAGATGGTAACAAATGCTCAAACTCTTCTGGTGGAAAAGTAAGTTCAATTGCATTTGCACCTACAAGGGAATCTAGCATAACATAGGGAAAAAAAAGAGAGCAAAGATAAAGCTCTAATGCTATCCCGATGGGAGAGAAGGCCCCCCACTCTCCTAACCACAAACTAGCGCTCCATCAGAAGCTCATCGAAGTTCCAGTCCCTCACAAGATCCCTTCTCACAGCATGACTTCGGACTAGCCGTGGGGCTCCTGCCATTCCACTAGGGTTCTGGAAGCTTGGATGTGGGGTGACCTTGGATGTTGATGGCATGGATGGATTTGATCTCGGAGCTGGAACAGATAACTTCCTGGTTAAGCAATTTGCCATTGCAGAACATCTTCCCTCATTGTCTGAGCTCGAGACAGAGTAACTCCTGATAGAGCGCGAAGGACTTTCTACACTATGGCACACGAGACATGCTAGACTCATGTTTAGTCTTTAAGCACCTCAAATTGGAGCTCACTTTTTTATGCTGCAATGAAGAAGGCCAAATAAAGAAGAGTGACATCAATAACAGGCAATAGAACTCAAAGTTCAATGAGTGAAGACTCAAAAAAGGAACTTCAGATTTATTTATCTAGTTAGCAACTATCAGAAAAAAATCAATCAACCTGGGTGTCATATCTACTTATTAACTCCTC